GGGGGGGGAAGGGCAGGACAGGACAGGGCACGGGTCAGACGAAAGTGCGTGTCGCTGCGCGGTTCCGTGGATCTGCTGGGACACCCGCGGAGGTGGAGAGGTGGCTCGGCGTCCCTGGGGGTCTCTGGCTTCGAGTGTGGGTCGTCCTGTACAGGCGCGTGGTTAGTGGCGGTGTGACAACGCGTTTCTGTCCCCAGAGGGAGGGAGGGGACAGCTGGAAGCTGCGCCAGGCTGGCCTTGGGGACATCGGCTTCGTTCCAGATGTGCAGAACCGTCATGTGTTGGGGGAAAGCGGTGAAGCTGGGGCACAGCTCTGCGCGGAGTGTGCCAGTGCCCGAACCCCGTATTTCCGTGCTCTGATTGCTCTGTGCTGTGCTCTGGTTTCAGTTAAGTGTGTACACTACCACACGGTCAAACATTGGTGCTGAGAGCAACGTAGATCTGGTCCTGAACGTGGAGGATTTTGATATTGAGTCCAAATTTGAGAGGTAGGTATCCAAGCTATGAGCTCTCGCTTTAATTTTGAAGTGTGTATCCTAACCAAGAGCTATTGCATGCACAAAGAAAAGTAGAGTGTTCATGATGGTTGCATTAGAAGAGCAGAGTTATTCCTACATTCTCTGTTTTGAGGTTAAAGCTATTTTTGCATACTCTGCAGGCTCTTCAGTTCACGCTTGTTTTCGTAAAGTAACAACCATTTTTGCTGTGTTAAGGCAGGAAAGGTGTTAGATGGATTTCAGCCTTAGAGTTGAGGACATAGTGCTGCCCTTAATAAAACGGTGGGTTTTTTCCTTAATTAAAGGTCCCTTCATGAGGTAAAGCACCTGCCTTGATGGAAATGGTGTGCTAAGTTCACCTGGCACTGAGGAACAGGCTCCTGGACAAACTTTTCTTGCGTTGAAAATCGTGTTGGACTTGCAAGAAACAAAGCTAGCGAAAGAAGGCTGCGCTAGTAAATACAGAATGCTTGTTTCTGTCGTGTAGATTCTACAGATCCTGAATGCTGTCCTCTGTTATCGGTTGTAATTTTGCCTTGGATCAGCATCCTGTTTTCAGCCATGACAGCAAGTGTTTTACAAAAGTGTGCTTTGCTTATAATAGTAAAAACTTATTTCCGTTGTGAAAATCTAAGTTAGAGTGCCTGGAAATGCTTGAGGCTTTCCTCTAACAACATGTGTGGCCAGTGTACTAGCTATGTGATGTAACAGCCGTGGCTTCAGACCTGGACTAGAACTTGTAAGTCAAACAGTGTTCTCTTGTGTTTTAGCCACATGCTGTTCCATAACTGTTTCAGTGCTAATAATCGTAAAATAAACCACCTTTGTCTGGTAGTTTGGGGTTTCAAGATCTTCTGAAGGGATGTTGGTGCTAAGATGGAATGAGATTGTGCCCTTAGATAAATTTCCGAGTATAACACCGCACTCGATGTGTGCCTCTCCACAGTTAAAATTATTAGAACTATTAGTTTTGTGCTTCATATTTGCTTTCTCGCTTTTTTTTGTTTAAAATAGTCACCTTGTTCTTGACTCCCTTGTCACCAAATCTCCCAGGTTCTTTCACATTCTGCATTTTCCATAATTAAAGAACATGTTGGTCTGCACTTTAGATGATACTAAACTTCATCTCTGGCAGACTTGAAAATACAAGAATCGTTTTACTGACACAGTCTGCTAAGCCTTTGAAAGCGTTCAGAGAAAAAGAACCTAGGACAAGGAATAACAGTTTCAAACTAAAAGTGGGGAGATTTAGATGAGATATTAGGAAGAAATTCTTTGCTGTGAGGGTGGTGAGGCACTGGCACAGGCTGCCCAGAGAGGCTGTGGCTGCCCCCTCCCTGACAGTGCTCAAGGCCAGGCTGGACGGGGTTTGGAGAAACCTGGTCTGGTGGAAGGTGTCCCTGCCCACGGCAGGGGGTTGGACTAGATGGTCTTTAAGGTTCTTTCCAACCCAAACCAGTCTGTGATTCTGTGAGCTTGAGCAAATTTACAGGAATAGTGGAGGCATTTTACAAGGTTGCAAGTAGGACGAGTTCTTGGCTAGCACAAGGGGAGTGACTTCGTGGTTTGGGGCTCTGGAGCTCTGTGCTTGGCAGGCCGCAGCTGAGGAGATATTTTATTAATGCAAAGCGCTTGGCAAAACTCGGTCATTTTCTTTTAAAACTTTTTGTCGTGTATGCAGTCTGTGACACGCGTTCAGCACACGGAAGGCTGTTTTCTGCAAGTGCTGTGGTCATTTTGGCCCTATGACCTGTTGGCAGGGGAAGACAACAAAAGAACTGGTGATGCAATCCTGTGTTACCTGGGGTAATAAAGGATTACTTGGACAAAGATTAAAGCATCTTGAGATAATAGTAAAACTTTGGAAATGCAAGTATTATGATACATACTGGAGTATGTAAATTGGTCCCATCCCGCCACAGCTCGTTAGGACATATTTGCCACAACTAATTGTTGTGTGCCAGGCCACCCAGATGGCTTTTTATTTTATATAATTTTTTTTATGCCCCCAACATTTTCTTGCTTGCTTCCAGAACATCTTCAGTGATCCTTATGTGTAATAGCTAAATTTCAGCGTGTGCTATGCCATCTCATGATGTATTTATTTTGTATTTTAGGACAGTGAATGTTTCTGTACCAAAGAAAACCCGAAATAATGGCACATTATATGCATATATATTTCTTCATCATGCTGGCATTTTGCCTTGGCATGACAGTAAGCAGGTGCATATAGTAAGCCCTCTGACCACGTACATGGTCCCTAAACCAGAAGAGATAAATTTGCTCACTGGAGAATCGGCCACACAGGTAGGTGGATTTTCCGTCTGTAGATGAACAACTGCAAAAAAAAGTAATTTTTTTTAATAGACACTTAGAGTGTTAGCGTCTGCTGTGCTTGCATCTTTACACTAATGATGATTTTAGAAAAAATAAAATCAAAAATAGTAGACCACTCAGCACAGCAGAGGTAGAGCCCTCTATAGCACTGGCTGCTATTAAAGCACTTCCCTAGTTAACATTAATTATTTCTTCAAGGATTCACTGCTTTTGGTAGAAATACACGTCTGTTCTGTAACAGCATGATGCTTTCTATAGTGAATTGGTTTCGTGTGAAGTAATATGCTTTGCTTTTATGGAACAGAGATGTTAACTTGATTTTGACATTGGTGAGTGACCGGTGTCAAATTGCTGTTTTCCCTTTAGGCTGTTCTTGCTGTCCACTTCAACTCAAGAGAATGAGATAACACCCTTTGACAAATGATGTGATTGCTCACCGGCGTGGGGGGGTGGAACTGTAGTGTTGTTTAATGACATACTTGTGAGCGGCTGCTGTGCGTCATGTTGAGTGGAGCTTGAGCATTTCACTCTGTTCTTCTTTGGAATCTGAAATACACCTGTAGCCAGCGCTGCTGTTTCTAAATTGTGTCAGAATAAAGTTGAAAATGAGTGGAGGCTAGAGTCCATGGCTAGAAGTCGGAACAGGTGGTGTCCATCCACAGAAAAGCGAGTGGAATGCCCTGAGGGCGAGCATCTGCTGAAAGCTAAGGTCATACTCGGTCTCAGCACTGCTTTACGCAGCATTTGGAAGCTCAGAACTTCCAGGCAAATGGTCTGAGCTTTTTACTCCCAAAAACTGACTGCGGTTAATCATCCACATCCTTTTGACTGTTTTGAAGTGACACCTGATTGCTCTACAGTCCTTATTTCAAAGCGACTTCTTCTAACTGGTATCCACATTCCGAAGGTATTGAGATTAATTAGCTGAATGTTCATTCCTGATGAACGAGGCTATGTGAATGAACACTGAAGGTTATGGTGGGCCTTTACAGTCTGTTCTGTCGTATTTGAGCAAAACACTAGATCCGGTCAAAATTAAGGTAAAGTGTTTCTTAGTGGCCTTCTATTTTGTGATATAGTTAATGGCTCTGGAGTTTCTGCGAGTTAGAGTATTATTCCATTCGGAATTCTGTGGTGTTTAGCCGTGTGGATGTTTATTGTATTTTTAAAGCAAATCGAAGCAGAAAAACAGACCAGTGCTCTAGATGAACCTGTCTCTCACTGGAGGTCAAGGTTAACCTTAAACGTCATGGTAGAAGATTTTGTGTTTGATGGATCATCCCTCCCTGCTGACGTTCACCGCTACATGAAGATGTAAGTCAGTGACTTAATTTTGCTAGATTTGTTATTATGAACTTACTGCAGACTTCTTCAGAAATCCTCCCTGGCCTCCTTTAGTATTTTGTGTTTAAATTGGAGGAGACAAGAACAGATACTCTTAATGCTTGCATTTCAGTAGTGACAATTAGTAAGGTGCTATGCGCTAGAAAACCTTATTGGAGATACCTTGTTCCTGGGCAGCTCAGAATTTAGAATACTTTTTTGTACGGAGTTACCACAGTAAGGCAAAGCAGAACTACAAAGACACAAGTAAAATGCTACAGCAGCTTCGTACCCCCTTGTTCTGAGATCATACTTCTGGCCTTTAAAGCAATTACTGTCCCTTGACCTTTCCAGTTACTCTTCATCTGCAAATTATCTGTACAAACTGCAAGTGCTGAAGGGGCACAGCTGATCTTCTACGACATCTCTTTTTTCCCCTTGATGATTTGCTTTATTTTACTTTTGACAATGTGTGTTGCTACGTTATGTCATTTTCTCAAGAAAATACCAAAAAGCAGGGCTAGGTTTTTAGGACACTTAAGTGCAGGCAGCAGCTTCTGTTCCCAGCTTGCTTACAGTACTTCCAGTGTTAACCATATAAATAGTGCTGTATTGGCTTGTGCTGCTGTATGTTGGCGCCTTTCTCTACAAGTATCCTGTTAAATCCAGAAGTAGTTGCTTCGTCAGCAGACCCTGGGGTTCTGGGACAGCTTCCCAGCCAGAACAGATAAACTCAGTAACTCCTAAGATAGGCCCGTAACAAGCAGGGGTTGGACTGGGGTTGATGAACGAGGATATTTTTTCTGGCCCTGTTTAGATACACATCAGTGCTGTTTTGTTATTGCATTATCCAGGAAATAGTTTGGATATGAAGTAACCTGCTGCAATTCCACTAGCAGTAGCTTTAATTGTAGTTATTATATAGAAATCCAAACCTCTTCAGTTAAACAACCGAGCAGTATTTCTGAACCTTGATTTAGTACCTTTGTGTATGACTGCTGCCCATTGTATGTTTAGTATGCAGTCTTTCCTAGCCTGTGTAGAGACTTCTTTGTTTTGTCAACGACTAAAATTCAACTTTGGGGCTTTAAACAGCTCCTTTATGCTGGTTCCATGGGCTTTTACCGAGAACATTGCAGTGTAGATCACTAGAAAGGCAGTTAAGACCTTTAAGAATTTGTCTCTCAGGGCGTTAGGGTCAATACTTCTCGAAGATACCGGCAAAGCAATTGCGTGTCAGTCGTAATTTGCTAAATAACTTCCCAGTGGTCGGTTTTGTCGAGGGCTCAGACGCTGGGAAGTTCCTGTTGGTTTTGTGCAGGTTGGCGAGGTGGTAGAGCAACCCAAACGAGAGCTTCTGTTGAGGAGGAGACAGAGGAGGTTTCGGCTCCTCGTGCGCTCTCTCCGGCGGTCTCTAGCCTTCCTGTGTGCACACCGGCCGTTGCCTTCAGTCCCGTGCTTGCTGGAGCGCGTGCTGTCGCTGACCGGATAGATGTCATCGGGGGCGCAGCGGGGTGGGGAGGTGGTGGAGGGTTGTTGCGGTAGGAGAGAGATACTTGAGACAAAGGATACAACCATATGGTAGTGAACTTCAGCACGTTTCTCTTCAACAAACTTTAATTTCCTCTACCCTTGATCATGCAACAGCTTCAGCATCATCGCAACCAATTTCAATGGTCTTTTTTTTGTTGTTGTTGTTAATTCTATCTTTGTACAAAAAAGTAAAAACAAACTAAAAGAAGTATGACATGCCTGGTGGTTTTTATGCAGACATCTCTCAATGAAAGACTCTAGGCTAGTGGGTTCGTTTTTAATGTGTGTTAACTGTGCCTGAAAAGATGGTGAGAAATACCTACATTACACGGGTAGATCTGAAAGTGATGAATGAGTGCTAATTTGAATTAAAGTAGTTTTCTTTTTAGATCACCACAGTCATAAAATCCATGTTTAAACATCCTAGGGTTCAGCTGGGGAAGACTGTGCATTACCTTCCAATACTATTTATTGATCAGCTAAGCAACAGAGTGAAAGATTTGATGGTGAGTAATAGAATACCTTGAATTACCTGTAACAGTTTTAACAGTAATCTTCAATGGTGTTTTAATTAAGATTTTGTCATAGGTTGTTTGCTGTAATGAAAAAGTATGAATTCACAAAAGGACTCCATCAGTGACTGTTTAACTCAATGTGGTCAACTGCGGTAACTGCAGTTTTTCTCAACTGGGTTTTGAGACTCCCCTCTGGCAGAATTACCTGCCAAGCACCCCCTTCTATTCCACCAAAAGGTATTTGGAGTCCGTTGCTTCTGCCTTTTGGGTGGGTATGGAGGACATCACTGCAGCACCAGCTGTGGTGGGAGCAGTCTTAGGAGCAGTTTGCTTCCCTAAGCTGAAGAAGTTGTGTTAGTGTCCCAGAGCAGCTTCTGAGCGTACTGAATATGGCTGAGCCGGGAGCTACCCGGAGATGAGTCAAGCTATTCTCTGATCTCCAGAAGATTCACACGTGGTTAAGTTTTCATGCATCGTGTTAGAGTCACGTGAGCACCTGAAAGCTTGGTGTTGCAGTACCTCCAATGATTTTGTGCACTCAAACCGATCAGGACTTAGAAACTTCAATAATGGAATTACAGAAGGATGAGGCTGGACGAGATTTCTGGGGGTTGCTAGTCCAGTGCTCCTGCTCTAGGGTCACCTAGAGCGGGTTGCTCGGGACCTTCTATGGTTGGATTTTGGATATATTGGAGGATGGAGATGCCATAGCCTCTCTGGGCAACCTGTTCTAGTGTTCAGTCACTCCTGCAGGTAAAAAAAAAAAAAAAAAAAAAAGGGGTTTTTTTAATGCATTTAAATAGAAGTTTCTGTATTTGGTTTTTGTCCAACTCTCCTCTTGGGGGAAATCACGCCGTTCCTTTACTACAAGTTACACATGGCAGTCCCCTGCATCTAAACCATGTTCATCTTGGCAGCTCTTAGTTAAGCCCTGTTGTTCTTGTCGGTTGCACTGGCTGGAATTTAGCAATCGGTTACTGAGAACAAAAGTCTGGGGGAATGTCTCAAAACTGTTAAATGAGTATGTCTGGATTCAGCATCTTCCAGATGGAAGTCTTGGTAGGTGTAAACTTTCCATAGACCTTTTAAATTGTCTTTCCAATTCATTAACTTTAGCTCAGACAAAGAATTTTGTTACTCAGTGTTGGGGAGAATCTTCTTTAAGAACTTGTATCCCCTCCAGCCCAAGCTTGTTCGGCAAAATAAACTCCTGAGCATTTGTTACAAAACGTGGTAGCAGGTAGTTTTGTCCAGTATTTCTTTAGATCGGCTTTTGTGATGTCTTTATCAGTGGTCGTTGTCCTTTGTTTTAAGTTTCTTACCACAGCTCGTTCAGTTTAGTACATTCATATGAGCTTCTAACTGGTCAGGTCGTGTACCCTGTTTACAAATAAACTCAGCATTTGTCGACTTATCAGTATTATCAGTAACATCCCTGCAGCTGTCATGCACTGCACAGTTCATGCCGTTGTAACTCACTGCCTTGAAGTCTTGGAAGACCCTGAGAAGTGCCTCAAAGACTGTTCCATCAAAACTAGCGACCTTTCCCTTCAGCACTGGCTTATGTGACTTCTCAGCAGTGCCTTGCCAGGCTGCTCCCAAGCCCTGCAGAACAAGTGGTCCGATAGGATGCATGCTGTGAGATAGTGAGGGGGGATCGATGAGCAGGAAAGAGTAAGGGAAGGAGGTGATAGGGCTTTTGTGGAGCGAGGTTGGCTTTGACCATCAGCAGGGGCACAGACGCTGTCTGTCTGCGTGCCCGACAGCGGAGCCGAAGATGCATTTCCCTGCTCGTGCCGGGCTGTGTGGGTTTTGAACTGGCTGGTGGTTTGACCCAGGTGTAAGTCTTCGGTGGTTAAGTGCTGTCGCCTAGACGTTGTGTGTTCCTCACGTCTTGTGTGTTCCTCACGTCCTGGCCATGCTGAGGGTTTGGGGAGTGCGCGTGATTCTGAATTAATAAAGAGAGAACGTCAAAATTGGTACCGCTGAATTTAATTTGCTTTGTTTGCACAGCTTTGTAGTACTGATAAAGTAGAGTGATAGAAGTAATGTGTGATGTCCTGAGGCCGTACTACAAGAGTAGGTTGTATTGCAGAGATTTGGTAACTTCCTAGTTTTCAGAGGCTTAGCAACCGTCACGCTCAACTAGGCTGTGAGGCAGCACTTGTGGACTTTTAATTACTCATTGAGAAGGAGTTCATTCTTCTAATCTTTATACTTCATTTAATTTGCTTCTGGTGTTGAAGAATTCCTGTCTCTGCCTTGTATTGCAATCCAGTTTCCTCCCTGCACTACCCTTAACTCCTTAGTGGCACTCTGTCTGTGTAGAGTGCGCTGGCCGCGCGTTACTTACCCGCGCGTGTGCAAAGTTTGTGTTCCCTGTCTGTCCCACACAGATCAAATTTCTTTTCCTTTTCTCCCAGAAATGTTGATGCTGTTAATTTGGAGTTGTCAAAATGGGAATGAGAATGGGTGGATGACAGGCGTCCTTTAAAAAGGAGGAGCAGCCTGGAAGATATTTATGTACCTTTTGGTAAACAGCTGTAGAATCTGGCCAGCGTTCCCTGCTGTCAGCTCTAACCACCTTGGGGTTTTTTTTTTTCCCTTTTTTCCAGGCAGTTCAGAGATCCCTGGCACCATTCTAGTTTCTCAGGCTTTCTCCCTGCTGTGTTTATAAAAACCTCTCAGCTTCACTTTCTCTCCTTTGCATGCGTGCGTCCTCTGCTGCTGTCTGAAAAGCTTCCAGGGCCTTGGGAGGGTGGTGAGGTCGAGCATCGTGTGTGCTCGCTGGAGGGAAGAGTGAGTGACTGGGAGAGTGGACGTAATCCCCAGTTCACGCCTGACTGGTACGTGGGGAGATTAAAACCGTGTTCTGTAACGTGAGAGTCGGAAGCAGCCTGTTCATGTCAGATAGGCGTGAGCTAACTAATTACTGCCGAAACAGGTAGAGTGTGGAGATGGGAATTACGATTGGGCAGGAATTAGTAGCCGGGAGCAACAGCTCATGAACTGTTGCAATCCAGAGAGCCTGCCCGTCTGTAGTCTTGAGCTATCCTTAAATGTTTGACACGTGCTGCCTGAACTTGTACCTCAGAGGATTCTAACATCTGTGAGGACAATTTTTTTTAAGTTGTTTTAAACTCATTTGAGAGAGTCGCCTATCATGCAGAAAGAGCCGAGGCAGTTTAAGACTTCCCCCGGCCCTGCAGCTTAAGGGGGGCCCAGGTCATTGCCATCACAGCTGAAGTGTAGGTGATACAGGAGGATTAGCTGAAATGTGTTTCTCTTGGAGCAGGAAGATTTCTGTGACAGCCCGTATCCCCAGTTGCGCAGGCAGGGTGGCTTGCCGAGCTTTAGTGGCGGTGCGTTCGCCCGTCCGAGCAAGCAGGACCACCTTGCTTCCCCACCTTTTGTCTGCGTGTGAGCTGTTGTAACTTTAATTTCTCTCAAAACCAGCCTCAGTTTAGTAAAGTTCTGAAGGTGCCCTTGGGGAGATGACTTTTTTTTTTCTTTAGTCTTCTAGCTTAGGTAATCTCAGCCTGTACATTCAGAGAAGAACTGTCAAAAGAGATAATTACCTTAAGCACACTTTTCCCCCTTAGGCCGAGACCAGCAAAGGGAACTTTATGTAAATGCCTCGGAGACATTTGTATACAGTGACAGTGAGGTTGCTGTGAGAACTGGGACAAACAAACTGCTAACTTACCATTTCTTGGGGAAAAAAAAAAGCAAAACCAAAAACGCAAAGACTTCAAGCGTAGTGTAGAAGTCTAAGATCTTATTCCCTTTCAAAAAACAAACTGACCTCTTAAAATTGTGTGATTAAATCGTAGTGTGATATAATCACTGTCCTTTATTTTTAAAAAGTAATTTTTGCAACTTTTCTGCTCTTAAAATTGAAACTGTATCTTTTTGAAATACAGGTTATAAATCGTTCAACAACAGAGCTACCTCTTACAGTGTCGTATGACAAAATATCTCTTGGAAAACTCCGATTTTGGATCCACATGCAGGATGCTGTGTACTCCTTACAACAATTTGGTATGTTTTTAATCTTCAGTGACTTCAGACCAAAAAAAAAGAAACCCCAACCCCTCAATTTTTTTTTCTTGTAAGTACATAAATGATACTTAAGTCTCTTCTTTTTTTTTTTCTGATTAGCTGGTGAAAAGGTTTACTGCTACAAATCTTACGTTGTTTTACCTTAAGGTAAAGGTGGAAATAAAATGTTGACATGTGGTAGTAAACAAGAGTACAGAGGTGAAATAACCATTTTTAAAGTAAATTTTATTTGGATAGTACTGCTATAAAAGCATAAGAGGCCAAAATAGAGGAGAGAATTTTCACCCCGTCTCTCCCCTGCCATCCACGGAACAGAAGAGCTGGATCAGTGTTACACAAGCTTTGCTATAAGCTCTGTACAGCTGGTCACTGCACCGTGCACCCGCAGCGAAATACAGGCAGGCACAGCGAGGTCTTTGGGCTCAAGCTTAGCATGAAGAAGGAACATGGGTTCTGATCATGCTGCTTCTGACCTTTAGAGCTGGCTGGTCTCTCAGTCCCAGTTACACATTTATAAGGTAATTGAGATAAGCTGGAGGCTTTGCATACACGAAACTGTTAAACTTTGTGTTTTGCTTAAATGCAACGGAGCAAGTGTGCGCTTTCACTGTGAAGGGCCTGTGCTCTGTGTCGGTGATGGTAACTGTCTTTAACTGTATGTTCCACTCACACACACCTTTCTGAGTCGAATCCTCTTAAAAATCTGCATCTTATTTTCAGGCTTATCTTTGCTGACTTAGTTTTCTCTCACTGGACTGCTGTCGGCTTCTTTATGCTAGAGTAAGGAGGTAACGTTGTAGCTGAACGCACCTTGATGCAGATGAATGTGGGATTCTTTCTGATTCTCTCTTTTTAAGCTCTACAGACAGCAATTTGAACTTTTCAGGCCAAGAGATCTGAAAAGCTTCTGTGCTGTATTATTGTAATGATTCTTAAATCCTTCCGTTTCCTTTTTTTTTTTTTTTTTTAATGCAGATGGGAAACTAGTAGAATACTGCATCCAGAGACATATGCAGGGGTAATGCTGCTTCCACACTACTCAGTGGTGTTCTTTGTTCACCACAATTTAGTCAGTAAGAGGGAGAGGGTTTGGTTATTCACTGCCATCTCTGAATTAGTACTTTGTGATGGACAACTTAGCATTTAAGACATTAGTTCCCCTGAAAGAAAGAAAAACAACCAAAACTGGTTTTGTTCAGCACTGGTTTCGGAGGGTAGTATTGTACCTGTATACAGCATAACTTAACTGAGAGTCTAGACTTTCTCCATTTCTTTTGCAACCTAAGCTTTTCTCATGTTTTGTTGGGGGAGCGAGGGTGGGTCAGGAATAAGATCCTAGGTAGAATCCAGCTGCTTCTCCTCAGCTCAGGCTAATGTATGTCGAAGCTACAAGTATGTCCGCTTCAAATAACTGTCTTAAAAGAATCAAGTAACCACTTGCTTACAGTTTTTGTGGGGCATTTGACCACCGTTTCTCCATAAACTTTTGTGAGCCTCTTCAGAACGGCATCATTGGAAGTTTTCGTGTTCCATGTCTCAGCTGTCCTGTGATGGACCCATAATCAAGACTGCTCATCCTAGGATTACCTCCTCTGCCTGGATAAAAAGCTTAGCTAAGGTGCTGCTTGTTCTCTCTAAGTGTGCAGATAGTGAAACGTAAGGTTTAAAATTCCCTTTTGGAATAACTTACGAAAAGGTCACCTTAGGTCAGTAGCAAAACTCCAGAATCACTTGAACATGGGCAAGTTCACATTTTTCTTGCTGTGATGCAGGACAGCTGATATGACAAAGTACATTGGTACTGAACCCACCGGTGTCGTAACTAGCACCAGTGCCGTAAAGGCAGCATTGGGGGTTTTCTGGGAACGGTAGACTTCGGTCCCAGTGGCTGGAAGTTTCTGCTTCGTGAAGAACACGTCTTGACACTGGCTGAAGGAGTTCAAAGGGGTGGTGTATCTTCTGGAAAACACACTTCTTGATGCTGGCAACCATATTTATCATGGACAGGCTCAAACTTTTTTTTGAATTAATGGTTGTCCACTCTATGACACGGTAGCAACATTCCTCATTTAGGCGATTGGATGAGACGGTAGAGAATATGTATTCAGCTTACAGGGTGTGCTTTGTGGAAGGTGCTTTGCCTTTTTTCCGTTCGTCAAAGAGAAGCTTCCAAGTTAATTCTGGAAGGACCATCAAAAGAGTTGACGCCTGGTCCGTGATCTGGGGTCTGTACTGTTGCATATATGACCTCTGACCTTTGTTGTCTGCTGCAGTGTAGTCCTCCTCTTATTTTTCAGTTTTAACGCAAAGCTCACGTTTCTTATGGATCAAATTCAGAGACCAAGCTGAATAATCCTTTTTCTTCCCGCTCAGGCCAGAGTGACTTCCCATGTCTTGCCATTTGTGTCTCTGGTGTCCAGCTTAGATTGTAGTTATGCCACGTTACATCTGCTTGTAACTGATGGGGGTTGGTCAAGGCAAGTCGAATAACTCACCAAAACCTAGGTAGACTTGGGTTTTACTAATAAAGCTGCCATCATGTTTTGGATTTATGATTCCTTAACAAAATACGTGCAGGTGACCCAAGATGCCTTTCGTACTGGACTCTAGCATAACAGCAATTAACTGTCTGGTGGTGCTTGTTCTTTCTCTTAGGGTTTTCGGAAAAGGATGCAGATGAAGTAAAAGGAATTTTTGTTGATACTAACCTGTACTTTCTGGCTTTGACGTTCTTCGTAGCAGCATTCCATGTAAGTGGAGAAATGTTGGTTTTTAGGAATTACAGCATATGAAATAAAAAAAAAAAGAGAGGGGCTGAATTTCAACACTTTCATTTATTTAGAACTATTCTTGGGAATAGTAATTTCAGTAGAGCAATGGAAGTGTTTCCTGCTACAAGTCAGCTGTATTTCCAATACAGAGTTAATAGAAGAACCTCAACAGGAATCTGGGATAACTAGGTAGAAACTAACAGTCCTAACTGAAATATAAAACATTTAACTTTGTTACCACTGGTTTTTCAGTTGTAGTTGAACCAAAGCCCCTAGAATTAATATGCCTGTCAACAGTGGTTCAGATTTTGTTGTCACAAGGTTTACCACTGCAGTGGCATAGCTGGGGCACCAACACTGGAGTCTGAGTCTCTGACTTCTGATTCCTGGAGAAATCTGGATCTAAACTGCTTCAAAAAATGTTTGCTGTAAAGTGCAGAGCTTAGGGTTCTGGTCGTGTTTATTTGTTGTTGTGTCTCTCTCCGCATTGTGTGTGTCTTGGTTTAAATATGGATCTTTGTTTTAATGAACAGGGTTTTTTAAGACTTCGTTGTTCTACTGTGTGCATTTTTGTAATCTGCAATTTACACTTGATACAATTCCTATATTCTAGGGGAGATAAGAGCTTGCTGGGCTATTGTGTTTCTTTATACTTACATTACATACAGTTAATTTGGTTGGAAAGCCTTAGACTTCCCAGCTATATTGATTTATTTTTTCCATTCTGTTTATCAGGTTTAAGGAATCTGTAGACTGGGACTAGCTCTTCTGATACTTTTTGCTTTTGTGCAGCATTTGTCCAAATTAAAATCATACACACTTTTTCATTAAAAGTCTTCGACCCAAGAATTTCTTGAGTCTGTGCTGCTTTTAAGACAGTTAATTCTTTAAAGGAAATACTGAAAAATATCCTGAATGAAAATACTGAAAAAAAATTCTCACTACAAATAAATTTTATGCCAGAGTGTCTTGAAGTTTAGGTCAACTTCTTAGTCATGAAATAGAGAGGAAACCTGACTTGCTGTGTTGTAGAATTTTTTTAAAAAAGCTTTGGTACTATCCAAGCCTAAATTGACTTATCAGTCCACTACAAAGCACTTTGAATCTAATTAAGTGTGGCTTCCCCTGGTCTGTCAAGGAGGTGAGCAATTCCTCAGGGTCCTCATTCTTCATCCTCCACCATGTGTTACCCTGTGTTGGGTCACTAACTTTCTTCACAGGACACTGCAATGTGCAGCATTTTTATTCTGCAGTATTTTAATTCATCCTGTCACTTTTCACTGCTTTTAGAGCTTGGGCTTCTGAAACAGTTTTTCTTTTTAGCTTTTATTTGCGATACTTAATTTTTGTTTCCGAACCTTCTGAAACAGGTTTTCCTTGAATTCCATCTTAAATGCGTTTTTAACAGTTCAGCTCTAATCAGTGCGTATTTCAAGGAAATGAGTGTGTTTCTTGCTATTTGCAGCTTCTCTTTGATTTCCTTGCATTCAAAAATGACATCAGTTTTTGGAAGAAAAAGAGGAGCATGATTGGGATGTCTACAAAAGCAGGTATGGGCCAGAATGCGAAGTGTTGTGCATGTGCCGTGTGATATATACTGTGTGTTTTCTCTCCTGCTCCAAGCTGACGCTTTGTAGATTCACCAAGGTGGCAAAACGAGATGGTTTTGTGGGTGAAGAGAAGACGGCAAACAGGCTGGTTCTAACTTTGTGAGCGTTGTGCTCCAGTATCACTTGCTCTTAAACACTTGTGTCGCTTCCGAGGTTGGACTGTCTTGCAATTGAGAGTTAGTTTAATATTAAGCCCATTACCGTATTACCCTTGCTGGAGGACCAGAGAAATACTTTGAGAGAAGAATGAGGACCAGAAAAAATCCAGTGGGTGGAGAGAACGTGCTGTCATGGGTAATGCTGTCCTGCGAGTCCCACGTGTTCCTGCAGATTCCAAAATATCTGGGGGAGGGGGAATGCTGTAGTGTAATGCTCTTTGATTTGGGCTTTGGTGTCAGCAGGAGCAGTAGAAGCTCCTGGGGCAGGGGAAGAGAGAGCATGGGAGGGTTGAGTTGACTTGGATGTAGGAAAGATGAAACGTAGTGGTCTGACATCTTGTCAAGCCTTCCTAGAGACAGATGAAGGTGGTAGCCAGCCCTGGGTGCTTGAAGTTTAACACACCGCTCCCCAGCCTTGTCTGTTGTGCTCGTACTTAATGCTTGTTTTTCTAATGGATTTTTCCATTCTGATTATAAACCAAAATGGTAAACCTGGAGTCACTTGACCTCTGAGCGTATCCCTAATTCTATAATATTTACAGAGTGATTAAAACATGTGAGGAATATCAATACCAGGAAAAAAAATTAGGCATTCTAAATTACGATGAACAGCAATATGTTTTCCTGATGTGGAGAATCTCTTTATTGTCTTTATCAGAGCACATTTGTTTTTGTAAGGCACTTACACTGCTGTTGGCATATGTATGCCAGAAAGTTAGTAAAAGTTCAAAGTGGTCCGTGGAATTTCACAGTTAATTGCCAGTTCAAAAAGTGAGTAAAGTCAAATTGGAAAGACTGAGTGACAGAGGGTTTATTGACCTTACTATCAAAGTGTCAATCTCCAGTAACTGATGGTTCCATCCTCTGTTTAACAAGCCTTAGTCACCTTTCTGCTGGCATCTCCTCCTTGCCTTGAGGGACAAGTGCAACAGGCGCTGCAGTGGTACAGTGTAATTGCTGATGTCTGAGTGTAGTGTAGCTCTTCTCTCTTTCTGTCCCGGCTTGGGGGGATGGATATTCGAATCTAAGCATCAGTTGGTAGACACTTACAAGCATCCAAGGTTTTGAAAAACCTGAAAAATAACCCTAAAACATACTTCTTAGCGTTTACAGACGTTAAGTGAGTTGCGTGAGTTTCAAAGACTGATGTTACATTACCTCACAGCCTTTCAGCTTCCTCAAGACAAGAATCATGAACATAGTTCCTAACAGTACTGGTACGTTGCTGAGTTGCTGCAGTACAGAAGTCTTCCTTAAACATTTCCATTTCCTGTCCTCTTTTGTGATAAGGATTTCATAAAATGTTTCTGTTCCTTATTTGCCTGGAGGTATATAGATCACTGGCTGTGTATAGGACTGGTTGATATATCAAGATGTATATAGGAGAAGTTCAGGCTTAAACAGCATAAAGACAGAATTATAGTAAACAGGCCAACAGTCTTCTGTCATCTCAGCTGTTCATTTAAATATTAATAAGCTTTCATTTTCATTTTTTTCTGTCTAGTGCTTTGGCGGTGCTTCAGTACTGTGGTAATATTTCTTTTCCTTCTGGATGAACAAACAAGTTTATTGGTACTGATCCCAGCAGGCATTGGCGCAGTGATTGAGGTGAGTCCTTCAAGCTCTAGAGCCAAATGCCAGTATTCGATGAACATCCGTGGTTTATTGTGGAAAAGGAACGCTAAACTGGTTACTGCTGCTGTAGTGTGCTGTCTTAGCAGCAGGGTTTAACTGGCTTTCAGTGGTAGAGGAGTCTGTGTCCCTTTATCAGATAACCAAACTGGAAGGATCAGTGTTTCCTGGGCTGGGCCAGCTGGTATGGTGGAAACCAAACATAGAGCTACGCTGAGGTTCCTTCCTGTCACATCACGTGGTCGGCATCATTCCTGACCAGGCATGTATAACCGTGTCAGCAAGCCTTCTCGGAAACATTCACCAAGGGCAGGCTGCGTGCCGTCAGACCGTGCCGCAGGGCTGCAGCTTTCTCCCTGCTCGTGACGGAGGTGCGTGGGGAAGGAGGGAAAGGAGGAGGCTGCTGGCTGGCTCCATTGTTCTGGGAGACCCCGTGCAGGCAGTGGGTTGCAGGTGCTGCTGGGAAGCCTGCTTTATGTGTATTAAAGCACAAAGCCAGCAGTAATGGGAAGGGGAGATCTCTCTGCCCAGCATTGCTTGCAGATTTATTTACTTCTCAGTATTTAAATATAAGTTCAGGGCTCTCGTGTGGAATTTTTGAGTACACGTACGTTATAGTTGCAGATAATCCCTGTGGAAACAAAACGGCTCAGGAATTTTAGTGGTTAGATTGTTGAATGCAAAGTCACAAAGCAATCCTTAAATTTCAGTTTATTGGATAAAACAGATTAAGCTCTTGTGAAAACTATGAACAGTGATGTCCTAAATAGTCCCATTTCATTGACTGTAATGTTATTTTTCTGTAAGTTGAGATTTTTTAAGTCTGATGTATTTCTGTGTGTTAAGTTTTCTGTATCAGATTTTCTGATGCTTTTGTTGCTATAAATAGCAGTTTAGTCTTATATTTCAAACTTTCTTTAGCTGTCTGAAATTTTGACTAAGTTTCAGGGATAAATATATATCCCTATAGATATGCTGCTGCTTTTGTGGAATATCTTATTTTGATCCTTGAAATCTAAATAACTAAATTCAAAAAAATCTGAAGACTTCAGAAATTTGAAAGTGTCAAATGATTTAAAAGTGAATCGGGTCAAGAAGAGTGGTGCTTTTGTTTGTGTGTAGTGGGGAAGAAGGAACAGCCCTGGTCTCTAGGTCACATTTTAGTAGAAAACAGATCAGGTGGTAGGGTAACAGGACTGGTCAGGTATGCTACAGGATTTATGTGCAATTAAAACTGTTAAGATTTTGCATTTCTCTTTCATAATGAAGATGGATTTCTCAGTTGCTGCTACCCAAGAGCAGGCAGATTCAGATCTCATTTGGTCGTTGTGCCTATCTGAGATTCTTCTTGGAGCTGCCCCCAGATCTGTTAAACAGATCTCGCTGAGGGCTGTAGTTCCCACGGCTGTTTGGCTCCTATCGTCTTTCTTGCGCACCTTATTTCCCAGTACGTTGCTTTTGGATTGCAGGCTGGGGGAACTGGGTTGAAAGGATTATGTAGGGACACTGTGTGGGACATGTAAACTGAGGAGAAACGTTCTGTAGGTTCTGTCGAAGTGATACATCTCTCCTCTCAAGTGATGGTGAGATAACGTGATTGTCTCAAGGTGAGAATGAGCATATGGACTGTACATCTCAAAGGGATCCGAAGGCTGGGAAGAGCTTTTCCACAGCTCGTTCTTAACACGTGTTTCTCATACAGTACTAACAGTGACGTTGCTTCTGTAGTGAGTTATTTTCTCACTTGCATGAAAGGTGACAGTAAAGGGTTGTCTTTACCATATTGCCCTTTTTTGTTCAGAAGATGCGATGGGCGAGAAGAGAAGATTGGTGTACCTAAAGTTAAACAAGTAAACCTTGTCCACAAGAAGCTTCATGGAGAGTAGCTGTCCTGCATGAGAGTAGCTCTCTGCTGCATTGCCCAAGTTGCTCAATCTGTTTAGTTTGGTGTAAATTTTCAGGGGAACTGAACCTTTGGTTGCATTAGGGTCAGGCTGTTGCAGCTCTACAGTAAGTAGCCAAGTGATTCGGTGGATTCGCTGACTTCTGCTCGTAGCTCACTACTGAAATGCGATGACCATGTAAGCGCCCACGTCTCATCACTGTTAGTGATTCTGAGGCACCTTCAGCTCGCAGATCCGGCTGACCTCAAAGGCACGTAAAGCCTTGCTTGGCAGGTGGTTACTGGAGAATTCTCTCGGTGCCTGCCCTGGGGCACGTGCTGGTGCTGAGAGCAGCTAACCTCTACCCAAGCCCTGCAATCCAGATGTCCTGGAAGGACGACGTTGTTTCACTTGTGGTACATCATCCGACAGGGAGACTTAATAGCGCAGGCTCCCGGAGTTGTACTTGTCTGGTGACACGGCGCTGGTTGGTACAGAGAGGCAGGCAGTGGGCTGCAACCAGGCTGAGCTGCTGTATGTGAGGGGTGCTTCAAAGAGATGTTCTGGGGTCTTGATTCTGATTACCTGAATCCTGCATAAAACATTCAGCGTTCCTTTGGATAATCTTTGATGTGCACGTTTTGGTTTTGCTAATTGCAGCTCTGGAAAGTGAAGAAAGCTTTGAAAATGACAATCAAGTGGCAAGGCTTGAGACCCAAGATTCAGGTACAGTAGACATTGGCCTGTTGATGATTACACTCTTGAGTTGTCCATCTGTTTCCAGGGTAGAGTGCCACTTGGCTTTTAGTGAAATGAAGATTTTTTTAATTTCTTTTTTTTTTTTTTAAAAAGAACAACCTATAAAAATTTCTTATGTATATCTTCTCTTTATGGATGGCTTAATCCAAAAGCTGGATGAGCATTTTCAAACTTAGGAATTTCTTTGAGTTCTGTAGAAGCAGCAGCTATTTGTATGTACTTATGGTAAGAGAAAATTCAGAACTCCTCTGTCAGTCCTACTAAATCTTAACAGGTGGGACTGTGCTTCTGCCACTGTGTTGGAAAGGTGCTCTTAACTGACATGATTTGAACTAAGAAACTGAGTTTTTCATGAAGCTGTAGGTATAACTTCTCCGTTGTAGAACTAGTAAATGATGTGACACGTTCTGGGGACAGGACAATCTTTGACAAATCCTCAGGGTAAAAATTAAGTCCCAAGACTGTTTGCAGGACATGCAGTGGCAGCAGGGATTCAAATTAACTTTATTTTTTTGACATGAGTGTAATCTTTTTAAAGTACAATCTACATTGGAAGTTTCTCTCGTTGATAGGAGAAGCAGTTGCCTGTCTTCAGTGTTTACTTCAACAAGAAGTACTGGGGTTTTGTGCTGCTGGAAGTCTGTGCATCCTGAATGGCTGATGGCTCTGGCTGTTCCTTTGTCAGTAGTCAAGGATCTGTGTTTAAGCAGTCACAGTTTCTGGAGAGGTGGAGATAATCCATAACCGACCTCTTCGTGCATGAAAATGGTGGTGGTTTTTAATAACAGCTCCCTGTATCTGCCAGATTCTTAGCTACTTGACTTTGCCTTTGCCTTTGCTTTGTGAAGTCTGCTGTCTCAGCAGCGTTTTCCTAAGCAAAGAAGTCCTGGATGTTTGGTGTAAAACATGAAGGGAAAAATTAAACTTTTTGCCTACCCCATATTTAGCAGGCTGCACAGGACGTTTGTGTGACTCTCCTGTATAGAAGCTTATAAGAACTTGGAACTGTTGCCCAGCTCAATGTCGAAGCGGTTTAGTTTGCAGTTTATGTCTCTGTTTAGGGAGTTGGACAGCCAGTGCTTCTCCCCCCCAGTTCTGACTTGATTATACTTTTTATATGTATTGCAGTTTGGTACATACAGTGACTCTGAAAAGAAAACTGAGGAGTATGATGCGCAGGTAAGAAGGGATCCCGTGACTTCTGATCTGGAAAGTCTGCATGTGTGCCCTGCCGATTGACTTGCTTCACTCTTCTTATTGCTACAAGTGTATTTTCCGTGTTCTCATAGTTGTCAAGGGGATGAGCAGATAGTGAAGATTCATTCTGATAAGTTATGAAAAGAAACAGTGAAAGAGTTGTTTTGTTAGCTGAATCTGGTTGAAACATTTCTTTGAGAGGCAGAATTGCAAGCGACTTACGTGAAGAGAAATATCTCAAAGGGGTTACCATTCACAGATTTGAAAATTGATACTTGTCCTTGTTATTTATACCGGAGGAATGTTCACGTGCTTCCTGATTTCTGAAAGGAGTTGAACATAGGTGCCAACATTAGTGTAAAGTAGAGAGCTCTGATCTCTGTGCTGCCTCTTGGTGCCTGTGCTCTAAGGTGCTTTGTTTGTCTGAACTGGGCATCAGAATTTTCACCACCTGAATTTTCACTGGAAGCACAGTAGAAATAATAGCAGACGTTTGGGAATAGGAAAAGATTTTCAGGAAAAAAAGGAAGTGGCTGTCTTCTAGCATGCCATGAAAAGTCTGCTGTATATGGAATGTGAACTAACAAACTGTTCTCCGTGTCTGTTAGGCTATGAAATACTTGTCCTATTTGCTTTATCCACTGTGTATTGGAGGTGCAGGTTACTCCTTGCTGAATGTCAAATACAAAAGGTACTGTAAATCTATAAATGATCTTGTACAGAATTGAAACATTCCCCGTTTTTTGGATATTAATTAATTGGAGATGATGGATTATGGAAATCAGTTATTTTAGTTTGTTTGATTCATAAGCCGGGAACTGGAAACTTCCTTGTTCTATAGGCTCTAAAGCTGAAGAGTGTTGCTGGTTTTTTAACATCCTGCAAGCTCCAGGCTGTTGTATTTTGCAAGTAACCTGATGTTGCTGTAGTATAGAATTCAGTAGCTTGCATACACGAGTCAGCTGTCAATCAGAAGAGGAATAAAGCTGCCATTGATGTTCAGAGAACTGATAAGGTGACAGGAGGGATGAGGGGGATTCAGCGGTCGAACCCATCCAACAACAGAGAGAAGCCAGAACTGTCCCCAGATTATTTGCTCCGTTCCTAGATACGATAGCTAGGATGGCGAGCAAGCAAAAGCATTTTTAAGAAAGGACTCCGTATTCCTTTAGAGCCGTGGACTTACCGCAACAGACTGGTACTTCAGCCGGAGCTGAAGACTCAGTATTTCATGAAAGGGTGAAACTCTTGTCCACTTCCACTCCAAGTAATACAGCTAGTTCATTTTGGCTTGGAGAGATGCAAGCAGGTGGGCAGCCGTGAGACTTTGTTGTAGGAAAAAACCTGCAAACACCAGCACGGTGACAGCCAGGTAGACAGATTTTTTAAATAGTCTTGAGGCCCAGAGGAGATGGGAGGGAGAGCAAGCAGTAGCTGAAAATAACATCGGAAAGAACTACTGTTGCTGCATACATGAGCCGTAGCACTTGTACTAGAAACTGGGGCAATTTCTGGGCTATTAGAAAATTAGTTTTTTCAGAAGGTTCTTGCCTCCGTAAGGAGCTAACAAATATGCAGCATGTAAAGATTCTGCTTTTCTCACAAAATTGTTGAATTCATTCAGTACTGCAAAATAGTATGTGTCAGGTGTTCTGTGAGTTGTAGCTTAAGAAAGTGAAAACAATTCATAGCGTAGAATTTTCATCATTGTTAAATCCGTTTGTCAGGAAATGTGACGGAACAAGTCATCTTAACAGTGGATTATCCTCTAATCTTGCAGGCGTTTTCTGGTGCATTTTTTAGATGCTTGTGGATTAGTGAAGTGCTGCTGCAGCTGTAATGTTGCTGTTAACGTGTCACTAACACGGCAGTGTGAGTTTCAGTTTAAAGGAGGTAACCTGAGCATCAGTTACTAGCTGTTCCTGCTACGGCAAGCAGAGGTGTGGAATTTGACCGCTGTCTGTAGCGCTGCTGTTTATTTTGCTAAGATTGCGCTCCGTTGAACATCTGGGACAGGTTTGCAGATGTGAGGAGGGGAAAAATGTAGATTCCTTGTATTTACTTCTCTCCTTAAGTGCCTACTCTAGCAGTTTTCACTGAATGGTATTTGTTGTTGGAAATTTGGTAGGTCCTCACAGTGCCATGTGAAGTGTCTCTTTGGAATAGAGCGTTACCTTTGGAAGCCGTAACGCAGCCAGCAGGGTTCAGTGCACGGTGTGATCTGATGTCACCTTGGGTGCAGAAGTCTTAGAATGTTCTGGAAAAGTATAAAAGCGGTTGATAAAGCTCTGCAAACTTGTCGTGTGGACTGATAAGCATCCTTTCCTTAAACTGCCTTCTCTGGAGCCCTTCCTAAGCACAGCAAGATGCGAGGTATTGAGTTCTTGCATAAAGTCATTCTCAACGCAGCCGTTTCTTGGAGTAGTTGGCCTACAGTCAGGTAGAGGGGGTGTTACAGGTGTATATTTTTGGCTGAGGTGAAAAAATAACTGGGCTGTCTTTTTTCTTTGTAGCTGGTACTCCTGGTTGATTAACAGTTTTGTCAACGGTGAGTCCCTTATGGTTTTTTCCTATTCATATTTCTTCATGTGATTAACAGTTTTGTCAACGGTGAGTCCCTTCTTATGGTTTTTTCCTATTCATATTTCTTCGTATGGAGGCCGGGACTCAAAAGTAGCCGATCAACTGCTGTCAGCTGGATGAGGGTAGTATAGGGCAATAACTTGACTGTAGGTTCCCAAATTATCCCAGTGAGTGAGAAAGGCGGAAGAATCAACCCAAAGTGAACAAAAGGATTAGAGGCACCTTCTCTTTGTAGGAGAGTGTAAATCTTTAATTGTGAAAGTATAGTTGTGTGATGTACTGCTGTTGCGCATCTCTTTGTAAGTTTTCCATGTTTTATCTTCAGGAGTATATGCTTTTGGGTTCCTGTTTATGCTGCCCCAGTTGTTTGTAAACTACAAGGTAAGATTGAAAAGTGATAAAAGACTACTTTTCTAGTCTCTTCCTCCAGACTTTATTACAAATTGATACTTTTATTCCTAGATGAAATCTGTTGCACACTTACCATGGAAGGCTTTCACATACAAAGTAAGTAAAGCTCTAATTTAAAGATTGGTGCAGTCGTTTTGGAATAATTTTCTGTAAGAAACATCTTAGTAATATATAGCTTAAGGCTGACAGTGCTTCTTTTGTTTAATAACTGAACTTGTTTGCAGCTGCCCTTTAAAAAAACCCAAAACATTGATTTCCATTTCCCATAACGACTTCCATATAATGAGAACGCTTGCCTCCTAGTTTTGATGCTACTGCTGCTTTTAGTACTGTCGACTGTCTTGCGTGGGTGCAGATGTTGGTCCTGCAAAAAATTAATCAGTCTTAATGCATTATTTTAGGAAGAGAGAGATTATATTAACAAAGGATAGTTCTCGAGAAACAGATGGGTCCACTAAGACGCCTTAATGTGGCACTTCCAGGAGCCACCAGAGACTGAAGTAATGTACGCACCGGTTTGTGCTGGGGTGGTAATTCTGAGCTTCTGGGCAGTGTAGTGGCCAGTGCATGGTGGGTTGTTCCCTGGTGGAAGAGGGGCTGCGCTGTGGTGTCCCCACTGCCTAGACTGCCCTGGTAGGAGATAATGCAGGGTGGTAGCAAAGCTTAACACCAGACCTGGGAGGAGGGGAAGGTGAGTTTATTTCAAAACAAAATCAACTTACTAGTGCTTTGATACCCGCACACCCCCAAGCAGCCACTTGTGTGTCCAGGTGGTTTGTATAGTATTCAGGCACCAGGAGGGATGTACCCAAGTATCCCAGTCAGGATTCCTTGCGCTGATATGGAGGACAAGGGACACCCACTGTGGAGTTCCTGTGTCTCCCACGTTCTTGGCAGCTACGTGCTGGTTTTGTTCTTGTACCCCTAAAGGGCTGACAGTGCTTTGACTCCATCCTTTCCCACCACTGTGAGTCATTAGGATGTTTGTACTGTCCTTTGTTTCCCTGATCATTGTGTCCTGAGAAACCCTGTCTGGGTGTGCTGGGATCATCCAGACCCTGATGTCATCAACACCTGCCCTTTTTTCTTCTGCTTCTACTCCTCAACGCTTTCCTTTAGTCTTCCTCTGTCCCGATATGTTACAGTTCTCCAGAACATCAGTTCTTTAAAAGACACAGTGTTACAAACTGCTTAAGACATGGTGTCCGATTCTGAACAGATGGCCTGTGAGAAAAGGACTAAAATCTTGACATTTGAAGTGCCTTTCGTAGCTTTTTAATTTCTGTGAGCCCACAGCAGTAGCCCGGCTTTCTGCTCCCTTAACATTTTTAAGGAATCAGGGGGCATCTAGGAAAAGAGACTGAGATACGGCCGACAGCAGAATAGCAACTAAACAGTGTTTGATATGGAAATGTAGCCAAAAATAAAAAGAAACGTCTAGTGCTTCAGACATATACTAGGCAAATCAGCATGTTTCTTAATAGAGGGGAGTGAAAGGTATATTAGTGAAGTGATTTCACAGTTTTACTTCAGCAACAAAATACAGTAACTGAGCAGAGACATCAGCAGTTAAATAGACGACAAAGGGAGAGTATTCAAGCAAGTAACTTGCGAAGCAGTAGAACTCTCTTGCTTTTCTTACAGAGCACTTATGGTTCCTGTTAAGATGCCAGAGGCTACCCACAACAAAGGCTTGTGTGTTTGTAAAAAGAAGTATATGATGTTTTCAATTATGTTTAACTTACTGGGCTTTGGAGGGGATCATTTACTTTTTCCCAGCGGATATTTAAAGTTGCTTGCTCTGTTCTGCACTTCGACAAGAGGAAAGCATAGTCTGGGTCCTCATCTGTGGTTCTCATTTTAGAGAGCTTCGGTTTTTCCCTTAATTTGAATTCTTTCCTGTTTTGGAAGACCTTGGCAAAAATGAAGATTATTCTAATTTTCCACTTTCTGTAGTCTTTACATTTATGCCTTCATACTTTTATGAGGAGTACCTTCCAGTGAGGTTATCTCAAAAGAAAACTAGCTGGACTAAATACGATTAGATGGGCTGCCTTGACGCACTCAGTTGCAGTGGCTTATGAGGACTGCCTGAGTGCCTGAAGGATGGAGCATTTAGCTTTTCCTTCCTTTCGTCATTGTAGGCACACTCGTTTGGGTGTTGACTTGGAAAGGCCGCCTTTTCCAGCTTGCCAAGGTGGTTTTTGTTCCATGACAAATCTTTGCTCAGGCTTGAGAAGCGCCGTCCATATTCTTTGATCACTTTGGATTGACGGATTTGTTTTGACTTGCCAGAAGGAGCTTTCCTGTTGTAACTAATCAGAACTCTTTCCTGTCCAACACCCCCATCTTCTGCCGACGCTTTATTTCATTATATAAACGTTGGTTTATTTTGAAGAGCGAGTCCTGTGCTTAGAGAATACAGCATTTTTCCCCTCCTTATGGTATGGATTAATGTAGAGCTTGCTAACATTGAAAGGAGCAGCCCTGTGACTGTTT